TGCTTCGCTTGAGGCATCCTAGACTCTTGACCTGTTAGTCAAAGCCCCGAAAACATAGATTTCCGGCGCCCAGCTCTAGACCACCCTGATCTTCACGTTCACTGCGCAGGCCAGTGTTTTCTACTGCTGCGTACTCCGAAAACCTAGCGTCAAATAAGAGCGGAGCGCGGAGTACTACTGCTGCTACTACTACTACTACTACTACAACAGTCCTACTGCTGGGGCTTCGTCCAGAACAACGTCCAGGGATATGCAGGGTGAGGCTAGCTGAGGCAACCGAACTAGTCCATGCCCCCTTGGGTGCAGTGTTTCACTTGCAAGAAGTCAGAAGCAGTCGGGTACGTTATGTTGGGAAGCAGCATTCAAGAGACAGCACTCCTCATGAGCTATTGTGTTCCGTCATAACATATGCATACCTCAAACGCTACCCAACAACAACCCCAAAAAAGAAAAAAACAGTAGGGCTTTCAAGGGCATCCTTGCGAGGCAATGTACTGCCAACAAGTCTCTGCTCAAAACACCTAAGCACACTTACCTGTAGGCCCATTTGTCGATAACATCGGGAAGTAGTGGCTAGATGTCAGTCCTTGCTACGATTCTCGGAAGAAACCCCATTATCACCCTTCTCAATGGATCTGAGAGCGAAGGTGCGCCCCATTATCACCTTCTTACACAGCCTGGAAACAAGCCATAAGAATGCAGTATTGGGCAGCATGGTAGAATCCCCAGCAGTTCATGACTGCTGTTTCGAGGTTTCGCTATGGTTGTCGCAACTCCCAGCTCCTTGTGATGGGATGGGAGACAATTGTGCCACAGGGTTGGGAAAAGCTTCTTGTTTGCTTGCAAGCTTACCATCAACAAGCAAATGCACAGGTCTGGCATTTCCAGCAGGTACTGTAAACGTGCTCAGGCAGGCTTCAGGATCATCAAGTCGGAACCTTACAGTTCGCGTCTTGACAGAAATCCAAGACTCACCCCAAGCATGGATTGCAGCTGGACTGGGGGCTGCGTTCTGGATCCGCTATGAGATTTTCGTAGGCTTGGTGGATTCGTCTGAACTCCAGGACTGCCTCTTCATGAACCACAGGGCAGGGTGCCGAAGAATCTATCGGGAGCCTGGTCGTGCTCTTCCTCCTTGACCTTGTCGGGATGCCAGCGCCTTGCCAGCCTGACTCATGCCGAGATCGGTCTACTGGCTTCAGGACTTGTTTGCCCTTCGAGTCGCCTCCTGTAGGCCTTGGAGACGGTTGTCCGGTCGGATCCACGGGGCACATCCAGCACAAGGTGCGGATCTTCCTCATGGGTGGCCTCATGGAAGCAGTGGCGCACATGCACTCTACTCATGTTTTGCTGCGCACCTTTGATGGGTCGACCATTCGCAGGACCCTGAAGACCAGGCCGTAGTCCCCAGAAGCCACATAGCGAACCTGCCCATGATGTCTTGTACCGTCTTGTCACACATCTGTTGGCCACTTGTGTGAAGCTGCAGCAGAGTTGACTTGCCGAGAGAGTTATGTCTTGTAAGGAAGACAGAAAAGGCCTCGAGATACCGGTACATGGAGTCCCTTCCCGAGGTCCAGATTCGACCGCCCGGTCGGACGCGACCTTCCATCCGCTCAGCCGCTAAGCATTTTGGTCTCACGCAAAAAAAACCAAGGCCAAACAAAGAAATGGACTATGGTCGTTAGGGTCTCTGCTGACGTAACGCAGCTGTAGACGGAACTTTGCGCTGCCTCAGGGCTGGCACAGGGTCATGCTCTCCTTGCTTGGAAAACAGCTACGAGAAGTAGTGCATGGAAATGTATAAATTCCTGAGCTGAATGGGGTAAGTCTCAAATGAAGGGTCTTGGAGCAGAAGCGAGGCCTTGCAGTTTGCAAAGGCTAGCTCATTCAATCGTTCTTGTCTGCAGTTCCTTACGTGCAAGAATACAAGACACCATCCCGCGGGCAAAGTTTGAGAAAGGGCACAATGACAAGACTCACGCACGGTTCTTGAGGGCTTAGTGAAAGCGGGCTTCGAGAGCAACCGGGATCTTCAGATGTCCGAACACCTTCACTTCAAGTGCTCAACATTCTTCATAGCTGGTCTGCTTCTGACATTGCTGCAGATTACCGCTTTGGCTCTGATGCCTGGGTTGAAAGTTGCAGAAAAATGAAAGCGTTCCCAAGCCCATCATTCAAATACGGCAGCAGTCGTATAAAAGCAGCACATGCAGGCAATGAAAAACTTCACAGCAGGTCGAGGGCCAGGGCTGCACTTCTCGTGATTTTAAGCGCTTCTCAGGCTCTGAGAAGCACGAAACAGTGTGGGTTCGCGACTATGAACTATGTCGACTTTCGTATGTTCATCAAGCGTCGGCCTCCCTTCGTCTGGCGCAAAGTCTTAAAAGTTCAAAGCATTTTGATTCAAATCCGAACGCAAATCCTGAAACGAGGATTCCGCACTGCCCGGCCTCTTCTGAACCATCACGCCGCCTGTTTATTGTTTGGTTGCAGTTAGAGAGATCCACCGGGCCACGACCAGTCCGCTTTTCCTGCCGCTGGCCATCGTTCAATTTGTCAAAATCAAGAAGCCGACTCCAGGCCCCAAAGCGCCTGAAAGCGCCTGACTATCAACTTGCACCTTGCAAAGTCCGGCAGCTTCCCAGTAACACAACTGCCTTGCTTGTCAAGTCAAGCTTGAACCTCGGCCATGGTTCGCAGAAGGGGTTCGTTGGTTCATTCTTCCTTCCGTTGCTTGACAACAGCGGCAATGCATCTGTGCTCCCTCCCGTTTTAGAGGAGATATTGAGGAGATTTGCCTGGCCCTTCATTCGAATCTGCAAACTCGGCAGTTGAAAGATGTCCAAGAAACCACGGAGCTAAACAAATCTTTGTTCAGAGTCCTTGACAGTAGGGAATTTCCTTCCATCATTTGTGGCCCGTCTGAGCTTCATGCGCGCGTGAAATGCAACACGATAGTGTCGCCACTGTCCCTCAACCTTGCACTGTGCAGCGCCTGAAGTTTTGGCATGAAAGTCAGCTAGCTGGTATTTCAGACTGCCAGAGGATGCCAACAGTCCACATTTTCTTTCATTTTGCTTGGCTTAGACGAGTGCTTGAAGCAGCAGCAACTGGAAGCTCCGCGATCAGCAATCAAAACGCTGGCCCTGCGGTATGCACCTCACTTCGACGTGCCTTACTTCCAGACTCCCATGCGACTGCACAATGGCCAAGGCACATTTTGAGATGTATCCTTGTGCGGTTTCAAGCTAGGACTTCACTTGAACTGCCCGGTGCCCGGCTGAATCTCAGAGTTTCAGCAATTCGTTCAGAACTCATACTGGCCCTTGTGATCGACCCATTCTCCTCTTCTACGGGTGCGTCTTTTTCCTCTTGCAGTTCCAAAAATTGGTGCCAGCTTTCTGCATGGTTGTTCCTGTTTTATGATCACACGAGCTTTGTAACTGTTCAGGCGTAAGTTCGACATGGAAGTTTTCTGCCAAAGACAACCTACGTTCAGGCGATGCGTTGTGCAGGGTAGTTGAAGATCCGTGGAACGCTTTCTTATCAACTAAATCGGAAATAATTGAAACGCATTGCAACTATCCGCATCTTGCGAAATCCTACAAAACAGTAAACATAACACTCAAAATGAATATGCAAGCAATGGCGCACACTCGCACCACCCTTTCAAATGAAGGATTTCACAGCGCGAGATCAGGAACACCTTGACTTTTCAGAGCTGGTCACCATGCCATGCTCAGATGCAGATTCAGCTTTGGAAAGCTGTCCTTCTCGGAATCAGGAAATGCATGGAAATGCGTTTTCCATTGACAGTACTGTACTGTAGACCTCTGCTCCGGCTGCGGAGCTGGCAGTGTAGAATGAAAATCGCAAAGCTTCTCTTTCTTGTCGCAACCCCATCTTCTTCAACAGAGCACGATGAAATCCCACACAGATGCTTGCTGCTCTGCACAGATAAGGGCTAGGCTTTGTGTTCCACCGGCTTTTGTGTCGCTTTCCTGCCGCTTTGAAGGCTCATAAGCTGCAGTACAGAACATACAGTCGAAGACATTGAAATGGAACTTGAAGGCCTCTGTACCCTGGACGTGTTATGCGTGCTCTAAGGGTAGCTTTACGCTACTTCCTCTGATATGTCTCTGGCTCTGGCTTTAATCTTGGGGTTCTCCATCTGGAAATTCTTGAGGATTCATACTGTACAGGCTCATTAGATCTTTAGAAGGTTCTACATGTCTATGGGGCATTTTCAGGGCAGGTATCTGCTCAACTACTTACCAAGTCGCCATGAAGCAGCTCTATTAAAGTCATTGTGCCGACTACTTCTGGCTTTCATGAACGCATTAGTATTTCTTTTCCTTGGGGTCATATGCAATCATATGCAAGGTGTAGCACGTGTGGAGCGCCAAAATCTCTTGACCTACCCAATGCGTTCCTTTCGTCGTACATCTTCCTTGTGTGGACGAGAATTGGGGCCGCCAGTACAGTCTTGCACTCTCGAAGGAGGAATTCGGTGCTTCAGAACACAGGAGGTATCCGGAGGTGAGAAACAAGTCTGTCTGACAAGCCTTTGTTTGTTCAGTCAGTGAACGTCCTCCTGCCAAGAAAGCTCCAGCGCCCGTGATCGCAAAGCCAGGCCCAAGTTGACCTGCCAGACACAAAGCCCTACCACGTCCGTCTGCACAGGAAACCAGCATGCACCTTGGCGTTGCTTTTGGGGTCTCGGGGCAGCTTGGGGTGACGAAGCTGTGCAGGAATGACGGCCTCATCAACATGAACTTCTGGAGAGCTTCGTGTAACGCCCAACCCAACGATGAAGCTGCTTAAACATTAAGTCTCAAGTGGCAATAGCTGAGCGTGATGCAATGACAAGGTTCTTGCCCTTCTGATCTTTTACAGGGATTTCAACAGTCCACCTGCACAGGTCATCGAATTCATCAAAGGTCAAGACAACGCGGGTTCCTGACAGTATCTGACGGTATTGAGTATCTTCTACAAGAACCTACCTGCAGGGCGCCCTACCTAAAATTGAGACAAGAACAAAATGGCGCCTGCAGCTTTGTGCAGTGCTTTGTGCAGCAAGAGGGGATCTGATGCTACGCTTCAAGTGACCAAGGCTGCCGTTCTGCTGAAACCTACACGCGTTATCTGGAGCAATCTGGAGCACTCGAGCCGATGACGCCTGTCCAGCCACTCCACATAGTTTAAGACTTCGCACTCAAGGCCCTTCAGCTTCAGGGAGCCGTACCTGCACGGCAGTCTTTGAATTCTCACGCACAGCTATGAAGCCGTGAAACAGCAAGCAATCCAAGCAGGGCACTCGCCGCCGAGTAGAAGCCTCTTCTGACCCACCTGGATGTCATCCGGATCATCACCTGATGATGAAGAACTTAGTGTCTGCCCAAGCAGAAACAATCTGGTTCGGGACCGCCCTCTCCAACGTCACGAAGGAGATCCCACCTGCAAGGCTTAGCTGCGAAATGTCGCGAGCTAAAGTCTGCACACAGAAATGGCCAGTCGGGGGCTGTGTAGATGTTGACAGCATAATGATACTTCTGTCATCTGTTCTGCCTCCGAGCCCCTCAGGCATCAACCATTTGCTATGTGGGGGATGTAATTATGCTGGCCAGCATCTGACTGCCTGGTTGAACCTCTTTTTTCCACCTACTTTGCCGGTACTAGTACTGGCTTGTCATACCAGCCTGTTACTGTTGTTCACTACGGCAATCTCGGGCACACTTTCTGCAGTGAGCTTTGGAATAGAGGCAGCGAAACAAAGCGAAGCAGATTGCCGATCTTAAGGTGCTCAAGAATCAATTGCTTGAGAGATGCAGGCCTTAAGCATGTCTAGTTGGCAAGTGGCCATATCACCAGAGCTACAGTTGCAGCAGCCATCTCCAAAAAGATCAATAATGGTCGCAGAGGATTTTTGTGCAGCCCTGATGGCTGCAAAATCTGGAAAGTCATCTTTCCCATGCTAGGCCTGGATCCTGCTGAAGCACCAGCTGCCTTCATGAGCTGGAGGTCGCAGACCTAAATGTAACATGCTGAATCCCACCAGCAGCCGATGTGACATGCGATCACTCCCACATCAACTGCTGAGTACGCTGCATGGCGGGCACAGCTGAGCAGAATGCTAGCAAACATGCTCTGTTATAATTTCTTGCCAAAAAGACATTCAGCGCAAGAAGCACGGAGACAACAGTCTCCTATTGCACGAAAACTTCTAAAATGACAATAGGGGCCGCAGCCAGCCCTTGCTCTCGTACTCGACTGCCAATTCTGGGCGGCAAGGTGGTGTCTTTGCATCTGCGATCCTCTCACCACTTCTCACCGGGCGGTCATGCGCAATTCGTTCTCAGTGGCTGGAGTAGCTTCTTCAGCTTCTGATGTACGCGCCGTCACTCATCGGTGAGAGCATTGATGCATTTCGCTTGCCGCCATGTAGCTCAGCGAATCTGTCCTGCAACTTGTAACTGTCCCCGCAGAGGTCGATGAAGTCATCACTCATCTTCTGGTGGCCAGAGCCATCTGACAAACCCAGCCTAGCACTGTTCAGGACCTGCCAGCCTCTTAGGAGAGCTTCAACTGCGCATTTCTGGGCGAATGTGAGTGTAACGTTCTGGTTTCTGGGGACGTGTCGTGTGGGAGCCACATCTGCGTTCTTCAGTTCCAGCTGCAGCCACCATGTACTGGAGTTAGGACTGCTTCATGGCATCTTCTGTACTTAGGTAGATGTCATACGTCAGATTGTTGAAGCGCCCTTCTCAGCATTCATTCATACGGACCCAATCCTTTCTGCCTGCCCAGGGTTCTTGCAAGGCATGTCCCGTCCCGCATACTTCTCCTTTCGGGGGTTAAATGTGTTTTCTTGTGAGGCACACTCGCCCTTGGCCGCTACAGTAAGTTCGCTTCCTTTGATGAGCCTGAATGCCTGCAATATCCTGCAATATGGGCGCAGGCCTCAAACGATTTCAAGCATCAGGCTCTCCTGTCAGTTTACTAACAAGCTTCTATCAACAAGGGCCGCACCCGAGAGAGCGGAATCTCTCCCATAGGGCCTTTCTGCCCAGCCTGACTGGATGTAATTAGTGAGAGGATTGAAAGTTCCTTCTCCGAAGAGGTGGCCTTGAAGATGCGGACACGGTCTGTCCACAGCTTCTCCAAGAAGCAAAGTTCACCCGCCTCCAAGTCCTGACCCACCTGCAACCAAGCAAATCGCAATGCATGTTGGTCCTGCAGCCCCGTGCCTCCGCTTCAGCATCTCGATGGAAAGCAATAACTCGCCACCACCCTTCAAGCTTACGAGGAATTGACTCGTCGTCAGCAGGGCCGTCAGTGTGTGACCTGCTTCACAGACACACATGAGGTTGCACAATGCTGGATTGCCCATTTATGTTTCAACCGCGAGCACCAGGACTTAGCTTCACTATGCTTCATTGAGATCCTTCTGCCGGCCGGCCCAGCTAACAGACACATGACTCGGAGCGGTCGGGAGTCGGGACCACAATGCAAACACGACATCCGTCTGACAACTATTGCACGCAAATCCTTCCAATAGCTAAACTGCTTACTTGCATTGGTGGCATATGGAGTGAGATCTGGGCAACACGCTGAGCTTCAACCCACCACGGCGTTGGCCTGCGAATGCAGTACCAGAGCTGGGGGTCTGGTGAAATCAAAGTTCACCTCTGCCAGCACTAAAGCCTTGCACTTTTTGCTGGGATGCTGACACATCTGACTTCCAGCATGCACCAGCACCAGTAAATGGGCAGGGCGAGTCCTCATGGTCCACCTGTCATGCACTCCATCTCATTACCACACACTGTCAGTTCGGAATCGCAATCAACAGGCCTCTGCTTCATTTCAAACGGAACTCAACGCAAAACGTTATTTGCCAGACCATTGCACGGGGAGATCCGCGCCGTCTGTCCACCAAAAAATACACTCCAGGGGTGAAAGCATTGAACTGGGTGGAATCTGGAAAAGAGCAACAACTACAAGGGTGCTGGGGCATTTCGGGCCCGCCACTTCGGTCCGGGGAGGGTGCGTTTCGGGTCCGCCGCTCGGGTCCGAGCGGGGTGCGTTTCAGCGCGTGCCCAGGTGTGTTTCGGGACGTGCTCCGGTGCGTTTCGGGTCCGCCAGCGATTTCCGCACGGCGCCTCCATGCGGAGCGTTCTCAGAATCCGATCTG